CCGCGCAAGGGAAACGTTTATTAGGTCAGAAATAAGAGACGTCGAAGGTTGAGAACCGTGGGCCACAGGATGATGGATGGTGGCGTTCTTGCTCGTTCATGAGGAAGTTATTACGGTTTGCAGGAGGTGGCTGCCAAGATGCAGAGGGCAAGTCAAGGGTCGAGCGAGAAAAAAGAGTAGAATGTCGCGCGGACTCGATGGCACGCGGTCCTCTTGAAACCGCTTGAAAAGCACCTCTCCGATTAACTGGATCGAAGTAATTGGTTAATGACTGCTGGCGATCCTCGATGATCGGTTCTCGCGCGACGCTCTCTTGCACCGGACATTCTTTTCCCCTCTCAGGGGAGATTATTTTTTAACCGTGCAATTTTGTTTCCTTCGAAATTTAAAATTCAAACGCAAATAATTGAATGTATCTATAGATAATACATATAAATTACACTTATTATTACTGAGAACACAGACAAATTTTATATTCTTTTGCCATGGACAAATCTATCTCTGCAGTCTGTTCACGTAGAATCGCGGAAGATAAAAAACAAAGATTGATTTGAAATTGAAAATGAGCGCGAAACAGAATAAGAATGTAGAAAATCGCGATACCGGATGCACGCGGCGAGCTACTTATCGACGCTCGTTGATCTTAATGACGATGTGTGCCGGTCGTCGCCCACCAATAGACGAACCGTGTCGCAACGATCAACGTTCCCCTGGTCCCTCCTCGCTCTTTCGCACGCCAGCTGATTTATCGACGTGCCCTCGAATTATATGCTGCAGCTCGACACCACGCGCGGCTTTCACCGACGACGACGATTACGGGCGTTGTCGTGCTCCTTTTGTCTACTCGACGGGATTTCGACACCGACCTCGCCGATTGTCTTCACTTCTAATCGCGAGTATCGTGCGTACATATCGATATGCGTAACGACGCGATCGCTGGCATGCCTGCACGACCCTTTGGCGTGTCGTTTTATCGCGGGTCGTAACTACGTCGCCGGGGAATGCGCCCCGTCTGCAAAAATCGATCGCGATCGGAGACACGAGGACGTCGAGTCGTGCGAACGATCGACTTCTGCCAGAATTGCTTATCGCGCGAAAATTCAATTATTCGTTCAATCTTTGAGTTAGCTCAGATGCAAAAAGTAAGGTTTCGAACATTGACGCGTTAAAAATGAAAGCGTTGCCCTCCAGAGTCTCTTTAGAGATAGGCTCTGGCTGTGCCGTAGTGCCGAATCAAATCTCTGAATCCGCGATGCAAAGTTCCCAAGACTCCGTTTTCTCCGTAGCGGTTTTCTGCCCTTCTCTAAACCGGCCTGCGATTAACGCTCGCAATTTACGCGCGGAAGCTGCCTCGCCGCGCGACGCGACGTGCACTCGAAATGATTTATACGCGTTCCGTCTTTGTACGTGACGCGTCGTTTACCACCCGCTCTCCGGCGAAGATTAATTAACCCCGTGGCGGTTCGGGGAGAAACGTGCTCCGCCTTGAGCGCTTTTCGCGGGGGGTGGCGCGGGGATCGGGTCCGTCGGCTTCGGTTTCTTAATCCAATTTCGTGGTGCATTAATCTAATTATGCCTAGGCATATGCACGTGACGTGCAATTATGCCGGCCGGTCGCGCCGCTGGACCGCTTTCGTAATGCTACGGCGCCCGTCGGGCCGGCAAGAAACTCGTCCGCGTAGAGTGCCCCAGAACTGTCGGAGAGACGATGCCTTAAAGATAGAATCTTCTCCCTCAATTTCAGGTTAATTTGTGTCTTGGGGAAAAATCCATTTGTGTCGGAGAAGTTGAGAGAGAAAGGGACTTCCTTATTTACTCGCAAAAACGGAAACGTACTTGCAATATATAGTTGAGAGATTGTCCCCGTTTTTCGAAGAGCAGAGCACTCATAGCGTGTATAAATTTTGCTTTAACAAAAATTGTAACGTCTCACGTTTAATTGTATACTGGAGTGCTAAAGTTTCGAAAGATCGAGTCCTAACATGATCAAATAAAAATCGTGAAAAATATCTATAGGAAGTATAAACGGAGAAGAGAAACTAGAATATTTATATGCGACTTGAAAATAAATTACGCGTCAATTAGGATTAGACTCGAGTCTCCTCTGAGAAGACTTGAAAGTATTAAGATATATCGCTTGTAATCATCTATCGAAAAGCACTATCGCGCCTATCGCCGATCGTGGATGTAAGCGTTGATTCAATAGGCTGCCGGTTCGCCAGCAAAACTTTCGCCTCGACCCAACGGCGGATGCTAAGTTTCACATTAATTACATCACCGTTTTGCCGACCTCATAATAGGAACCGTTTGCACCCAGATGTAACCGCGGAAGTTCACGCGCTCGCTCGCGCCAAGAAAGTATTCAAGAGAGAGAAAGAGAGGAGCGAGGGGTGAACGAGGCAGTCGAATAACTTCCTAGAGGCGCGCCTGTCACGAAGCCCCGGGTCATTGGTCACCTCGTTCTTATCTCGCACTGTCTGCGTCCCATCTTGAAGGAGCTTATGCACGGCGCCGTTGTACGGTTCGCTATAAACGGAATTAATCCATCTACCGCCTTCGTGATTATAGGAGCCGGTTCGCGCGGAGAAAAATTGTAAATTTATCCCCAGTAAAAAATTTCGGTCAACAATCCAGTTTATCTCGTTATTAGTCATTGAACGGGGTTCAATCGTGCCGACTGCGACAGCGCGTCCGCAATTATTTCACGAGAGTCGCGATCTACAGGCAATTATAACGAGCGACTTTAAACTCGGCATCTATTTGTTAACTGCGCTACAAAGCGCAACTGTCATAGAACGATTTTCTGTACCGGTCAAGTATTGTATAAAATGCACGTGAATTAGCAAAATTGAGAAAAGTTAATTATATGCTCAACTGATTCGTATAAAACAAATCCAATGTCTTGAATTAAATTTATTCTCAATAGGTTGGTTCATTTTCGTACAACACACATTTTACGAAAAAGAAAGAAATAGATAGGCATGCTCGAGCGCTCTCATCTTTTATCCAGGCGTTGGAACTTTCGCGTCGATGTGGAAAAACGATTGGTTCGCGAAATCGTTCAATCCGGACCACCGAGTTGATGCTGGCCGAGTCACGATCGTTACTTTCCACCAACGAGATCCTCCTTGGAGAAATCCGAAACGATCGTCGACACGCCCATCCTGTACACCTATGTATGCGCTTCGTTAGGTAACGGGCAACAATGTTTCGTCGGGCGCATATAGATATTGTCTTAATGTAACGTAATAACCGTGAGCTATCGCAGTCCTGAGTTACTCCAAGCGAGTCTCGACGAAGCTAGCACAATTATCTCGGAGTACGCGGCCGTTTATTAGAGCTAAAAATGCCTTGACAAGCTTTTATTGAAGTTTTTTTTACACTCCTTGCAACGGCTTCCTTCTTGCCAAAGAAATTGTACGTGCACTTGAACAAAAAGCCTGTGTGTAGGAAACTTATCCGTTTTCTACATTTGCACTATTGTGCAATAGTACCGCTGTACCGCAAATCACTACAAAGCCTTCACGCGTAGACGGCGCAGAAACCTCTTACATTATTTTACGGATCATTGTGGTAATAGGAATCCTCGGCGATCTTTTTGTCACCGTCCACTGACATTTCCGTGTTAATCTAAGCAAGCGTGAAGCGGCTTACTCGTGATACCGTGGATCGCAATGCGACGATCAGGATCACGACCGTTATTTTCCCCGGACGAGATTCTCTTTGGCGAAACAATCATGGACACACCCATCCACGTAAGCAGGCGCATCGTGTCTACTTTGTTTAGTACATAACATGCAACAAAGTTTGTTCCGGGCTGTAGGGACGTCGTGCCGCTCCATAAATATCCAGTATCCTGTTATTATTGAATTGCCCTTTCCACTGTCGCGAATCGATTTTTCGTTTTACCCGAAATATGTACCTCGCAAGTTATTTTCAACTTGCCTCCTTCGTTCCGAATTACGACCGCGTTAACGATATTTGCGTCGAGGAAAATTACGATATCATTGTTTTATTCCAACGTGCTCGTTTTAGTTCGCTCCTCGAAGTTTCCTCATGATCGCTCTCTCCACCTCTCTTCCGCGAACGACGATCTTCAGGGGGGGGGGGGGCAACGACGATGCGCTGCCCGCGGTACTGATTACCCGCCGTTCGTAGTTTGGAGTGGTGACTGCCCTTGCTACGGAAATTATGAAACCGGTCTATAATTGGAACTTGACTAATGACAAGACGGGTCATTGCGTATATTATAGCCGTGGATCGGCATTAGCTCTCGCGCGGGCGCCGGACGCTTCACGGAACCGCGATGGTGCGCAACTGTGCTCCACGTGGGAAAGGATGCATTAAAAGTGCATCAAACGGGTGGGGAAATGGCGCGCGGTGCCGAAAGGCAAAGCATTCGTTTGTCGAAATTAACATGGTAAAGGCGGGCACCTTTCATACTTTCGCAACACAGATTAGTCATACGAGCTCCAGCTGCGGGAGCTTGAAGACTAATTATTATTATCATCTACATTATTGTCCGAGGATGAGCGAGTAGCGTGGATAGAGCGAAATTACATAGAGATACTCTGCATCTTATAATCTATTAGGTTAATTAAGGAAATGTGCGCGTAGATATTTTCGTAATATTCGGAAACGGATTTTCATAATTTCGAACATTATATTTATATATTTTAACTTGTATCATAAAAGAAAGCACCTCTGAAGATTGTCAGCAAATTAATGTTAGAAGTTAAGTCGCAATACTTGGCAAGTATCATGGGCTGCTTCGCATACGCGCGCGTGTTGATCATAGTACGTCGAAGCATAAGCACGTGAGGCGAAAATATTTAAAGCGTGACCACTCTCTTGCTTGCAGATGGAGCATAGAGGCGCGCTGCGCGGGCAGCTGGAGCAGCAGTAGCGTTTCGCTATCGTTGGGGACCTGATCGTCGAGCCCTGTCTCTCGGGCAAGGGGCGATCTCGCGCGGGGGGGACGTGGGGGCCTCGCGACCGCGATGGCCGCGACCGACGGTCAGATCGTCGTCGCGGCAGCACGCTGGGCCGAGGAGGCGACGTACCTGCGTGAGTTCGTCTCCAAGTACCGTCTGCCGGCCGTGATCAAGATCACGAAGGGCCAGTATGGCGGGCTGGGCGTGCCGACGCTACCGGCGCCCAGTTTGCAGAGCACCGCACTGCTGATATCGGCCGGCCGTCGGCGTAAGATCGTGGCGCAGGCGGTGAAGATCAAGGAGGGCCGCCGGGTGGTCGGCGTGGGGCCCAGACTGGCGATACCGGACTCGTACGCGGGCTACTTCGAGATCCTGAGCGAGGAGGGTCGAGCGGTGCGCGGCATCGAGTCGGTGAGCGAGTTATCGCGAAGATGTCCGGACGAGGGTGCTCTAGTGCGCGAGACCGTGCGCGGCATCGCCTGCCGGGTGGACGACGAGTCGGGTATCGTGGTACCGGAGGGCACGAGAACCCTCGCGGCCGGCGAGACGATCGTTACCGCCGGTGAAGTGGCGCTACCCGGCCGCGGTCGGTTTCTGCGCTGCGTGGACTGTCACGGCGACAACGTGCTGCTCGGGATGGATCAACGCGGACGCTTCAGCGCCCTGGCGCGCGAGGACAACATCAGCGGCGTGCACACCGCCAGGGCGCTCCTCAGCAAACGTCTGCCGCTCACCGTGAGACTGGTGCACGGCCAGCCGCCGCGAGGACTCAAGTCGTCGTCGCAGTTTGTGCCCGAGCTGAGGCTGCTGTCGACTTTCGAGGAGGAGCACGTGTTCGCGTTGCCGCTCCAGAGGGAAGGAGCGGCGGTCGCGCTGCCGCTCGCGGCGCCGCTCAAGCTGGTGAAGGCGCGAAACGAGGAGGCGCTCAGGTCGATGCAGGAGTTTACGAGGCTGGTGGAGCGCGCCTCTCGTCTGGTCGCCGACGTGGCTGATCGGGCGCACGTATTGGACGGTCGTCTGGGCGAGAGCAAGCCCTCCAGGCAGACGAGGAGCGGCTCGGGCTTCCTCAGAAGACCATCGACCAACTCGGATCACGCGCCGTTGAGTCACCACAGGAACAGCAGCGCCGGCCATCATCATCATCATCATCACTATCACAGCAACGGGCATCAGCCGTCCTCCGGACACTCGGGCTACCGAGATGAGAACAGGGTACCGCCGTCCTCGTCCGCCTGCACGGAGGAGTACGACGAAATCGATCAGATATACGACTACGTGCGCGGCTTCGCGCCGTTGCCGAAGAGCGTCAGGTCGCCGTACGAGAGTCCTCTCGCCGCGGGCCAGGGGGGTTCGACTCCGCCGTTGACGCCGGTCACGGTGACGATTACGCCCTTGCTGGACGATCGACCGGAACCGCCGCCGATCGAGACGATACCGACCAAGAAGATCCAGGCGGAGAAGCGGACCAGGCGCGCGGTTAAGGAGGCGCCGCAGCCGCGGGTGGAGAAGCCGCCGTTGGCCAAGCTCTACGTGAAGAATAGCGGCACTCAGCGCGGCCGGCCGCTAATGAGGCAGAAGAGCGCGTCCCCGTTGAAGGAAACGCCGCCGGGTTACAAGGGCGGTTCGCCGCTCTTCAACATACGTTACAAGAGCTTGACGAATCTCCAACAGGCCATGGAGCTCGATGGCACGCTGGACTCCAGTCACTCGGGCGGAAGGACGTCGGGAGACTCCGGCGCGGGCGCCAAGCTGCCAGAGAAAAGGTACGCTTTTTTTTTGCTAGGCAATTAGATACTTTAGAAAGATTATTATTAAGCATACGATACTGAGATGCGCGAGATTGTTGGCGCAGGGGATCGTTGAACCTGGCTCGTGACAAAAGATCGATCATCGCTCGAAAGAGTCGTGTGAGATAACGACTGTGACTTTCCGGCAGGATATTCGACACTTGTATTCTAGCCATCCAAACTAATTATTTAAAGACAATTTCGTGAATTATTGCTTTGCTTATTTTTTAAAGACTTTCCGTATTTTTCGTTTCCCATATTTTCTCAATAGTCATTTTTATTCGCAATTGTTAGACGTACTTTTTATTCTTTTACTAGATAAAGAGCATAAGTGATTAAATAACTTTAGCCTCTTAGAGTTCTTAATTATATTATTCTATGTAAATAATTATATTGTTTAAAGAGTACTTTTTGACCGTTTCATTATTTTCTTATAACATTTTTTTAAATATATATGAGTTTTGATTAAATTTTCTCGATGTTCTATGACGAAATCTAGATCGAGACGTTTGAGCAGGCCACGATCGCTGACGAATTTAGTCTGGGAGCTACGAGGTGGAAGTGGTCTCGGTTGCACGAGACCGGAAACTCCGCCGCCCGCCACGACTGCACCGCTGCCACCGACTAAATGTGGGCCACGTCTAGCTGTCACTGTCGTGGCACCGCGACGTGTCGGCACGCTCTACCTCTAACTCGTGAGTATCAAGTTTCCAAATAAATATTTAGCGAGGAGGAAGTGTTTCGTAATGACGAGTGTCCTTTTTTTTTCGTAGTAAGATAAGTACACAACAGAGAAAGCAATTTGTGGGTATAATTTGCGAAATTGAGATTGCGAGTACGCTTTTGCGAAAAACTACATTGCACGACTTAAGATCAATTTCCCTCTTTTGAGAAAAACCGCGGCCAGTTCTGCTCTCTGACGTTCTGAATTGAAACATCGCGTGCGCGGCTGTTTTCTGTATGTCCTTCGCGCACGATCTTCGTTTCCCGTATTTCAGCCAGATGATACGCCGTCGGGCGAGCGGCAAGACTATTTGTCGAACGGACATGCACGTCGCAATTAACTATATTGAGGGAACACCGGTTACGATGTAGTTATAGCGTACTTTGTCCGGGAAGGAGGACTGAATCGTTAAGTTCGCGGGATCGGTCCAGGATAGACAGGACGATCTTTTAACGGGGCATTTTACTGGGCGTTATAAAAGACACGCAGCTCTCCGCTTCCCTATTGCCATAAGTCCTTATTCATTTAATTGCTCCCCCCTCACCGCCCACAGCCTCTGATCATAACGATGTCTGGGAAATGAACCTGTCCACATGGACGATGCAGGAAGTTCCGCGATTACCGCCAATTACAATCCATAGGGAAATCCATTCTTAGACGTAATCGATTCGCACGCGGGATACGAAGAGCCCCGTATGTGTCCGAATCACGTCGGTGTATTCATTACGATTGGCAACGTTGTAATTCTTTGTTTCCACCGCGCTCTTCTTTGCATGCTTTCATTAGAACAGGGCGTCGGGATTATTAACGCAAAAATCACGTTTGCTAAATTAGTACATTACGCATCACGGTTTAACAAACTCCAGAAAATATTACGTGCTCTTTCGAGTATAATTTTCTACCATTCGAATATAATGGAGGACATCGCGGCTTCATTTATTATAGCTCAACGTAACGTAGCAAAGTTCTTATACATTTTGCGAATTGTCGACTCGCGTTATAGTAGATTCTTACGTCACGTGCGGTCATCATCGAGCCAATTAATGCACGGCACCGACAGATATCGCACACGAGCGAGAAGCGAGATTGGTAACATCTGCGGGCGATCATCTCGCTCGTATCTCCGTCCATTAATCCGCCGATGATAATCGACAGCGACAGCGAGAGATTGAAAACGTTTCCTCATCGCGGGTCCGGTTTTGCACGTATGCCGGGCGACGACGAGACGTTCACGGGAGGAAGTCGGGAATCACAAAGCTTCCTGCCGCGCGCATCCGCAATCCAGCGCAGGTACCGGTTAGTATTCCCAAGCCCCCGTGGAAATTAGCGAGGTCCGCGCGGGTTAATCCGTCGTGGCCTAACTTTTCTCTCTCTCTCTCTCTCTCTCTGTCTCTCTCTCGGGTGTCGTTTAGCGGCTAGGTGCTTCGCCTCGCGAGAAGACGGCTCGGCTGGAAGCCGCAAAGAGAGACGGGAGACGGAGAGAAAGAGGAGATAGTTCAACGGTGGACAGCCTCCGGGTATATAACGTCATCCTCGCTCGGTGCAGCGCTATAATAGCCCCGGTTCGCTCCGCGGAGCCGCTCCGTGAGCGGAATTAAACGAGACCAGGTTCAACGGCTGGACAAACCGTGGCTTCCGGTCCCACCGCTCATCCTCCGCCCACCTACTTGATCGCATATTATGAAAATTATGATTGTGCGAACCGCGCGATTTTATCGATTGCCGTAGAAAGCGGGCGGCTTCCGATAACGCAATCGACGACAATCAAGCGTCCGGCTAAGCTGATCGCTTGTAATCTAGCGGCGATCTCACGTGGCTCGCAGGTGGATCGGCGATACCGACTTTTTTAGTAATTATTTAAAGCGCCTCATATCTCAATATTTTTACATTTCGGTATCTTAATAAGTTTTAGGAAAAAGTTCTGTAAATTACTGAAATCCGGTTTCGCCGCCGCGCGTCCACGCTAATCATAATTTAGCCGATTCTCTGCCCCTTTCCACCTCGTAACTGTGAGCATAACTTAGGCGGGGAAGAAGGATTCAGTTATCCACGATTAGTACCAGATGCGAAAGCTGAACGAAACTGGACGGCGAAACCGGACTGCGAATGTAAAGAAAGTCATACGTGGGAACCGCGCGACAGTTCCGCAACGTTGGAGCGTCGGAGTGTTCGGCTCTTAGGTTCGTTCGCGTCTCTCACGGGAAATTTAAGTAGGATTCGGCTCTCCCGCGAAGCAGATTTGCGGTGATATTAGTTTCGGGCACCGCTTTTTCGCGACGCGACGACCGCTGTTGCATTCTAAATTACCTGGCCGTGTCCGATTGTCACTTGCGGCTACCCGCAGCACCGTCGCCGCGCCGTTTTCACGTACATTTTAATGCCCGGCCGTGCTAAACGTCGCGCTGCGAAATTACCGGGTGTCTCTCCCCCAAGAAACGAGGATGCCCGTCGTAACCGTCGCTCGGCCGCTAATTAATTAACGCAGATCGAAAACACGCCGTTCTCTCCCTGCGCGAGCGGCCGACGATGGTACAGGTAGGCTCCCCCGTGGTTCAGGATAAACGGCACACGTTTACGGTTACCTACGTTAAATCGCGTCGCGCGGGAAGGAGGAGTCGTCGCTGATAATTAGAAAGTAATCGCGCCGTGGCTTTTCGCGTGCCTCCGCGCTCGTCCGGACGGTCCCGCCGGAGAGAGACTATTATCTCGCAAATTGCCGGGTGCGTTACACCATCCCGCGCCCCTGCGCCTCGCCCGTGCCCTCGCGACGACGTTGATTAATATCGACAAATTCCTCCACGCATTCGTATGATTATGCTCGCGGCGATATTCCGCGGCTATGTCAGTTAACGCCCTGGCGCGCGACGACGCGCCGAACGTGGTATTACGGCGGAGTAAAGATTGCGGCGGCGTCGCGCTTATCACAGGCGCGGCGTTTGATAATATTAAATATTTAATGCCGATACAATATTCATCCGGCGCCCGCGTTTCCCGCTCCCGTTGGCCTGGGCTTCTGGCACTCGCGCAAGAACACACCGCAGCCCGGCCGCGCTGTGATCATCTTCGAAATTGCCGGGCATCCTCGCTTCGTGCCGAGACGCGGGTCGAGTGTGCTCGCTTGTTAGGCCGCTTCGAGAGGCACGATCGCCTTGATGCTCTTCAACAAAGACGTCGCGGTATGAGCCCGACGTTCCTCGCTTCGCAGTGTGACGCTTAAGAAACGTAGAGAGAAAGAAGAAATTGTAATTTCAACTTATTAATATTATGTAGACTGTAGAGGAACGCGTGCTTAGCGTGTTCACTTGGAGGTTTTCCTTCTCTTCTGACCAAAACCATGCATATTTATCGTATCCCCCGGTTACATTGCATGCAAATTACAGACGACGTTCGGCTTCGCGACCCGGCTCTTCGTTATTCCGTCCCATTGTCTGCCTACATCCTCTCTTCCCGGATAAATGCCGTCCCGACGTGGTTCACGTGCGTCGCGCTCGTAGGCCCCGTCCTGAGTCATCCGATGAATATTTTTTCACCCATTTACCGTCTAAAAACCATCTACGCGCACTCAAGATGGTCGCGCGTTGAGAGGAGACGAGACGGGACAACGGCGGAATAAAGGAGAGCCCGAAAAAGAACGTTAGAAGGAGGCTGCGTCGTCAGCCGCTTCATCTTGAAAGCTCTCACCTGAAACTCACGCCCACGCGAGACGATACATGAATGGTTGTTATACGGGGATATGTCGTGTATCCCCCATTGTGTTTTTATATCCTTGTATAAATTCGTCAGCTAATTCTCCGACGAGAGTCGCTTTCTTTCCTTTTAACAACAGTTTTCGAATTTACACCCTCAGAAAGGATTTCTCTTACCGAGACGAAAAAATATTCTTGACGCATTTATATTTCTCATAACCTCATTTAGTATAAAAATATAAGACAATATGAAAATAAAATCAATAATTCTTATTCTCCTCTGTCGAATTAAAAAAGATTGATTTAAAATAAATTTTCGTTTAAAATAAATTTTCTCTCCGTCTTGACTCCACGGTATTCGTCAAAAGACGATGCATACTATCATTTTATTCTAGATTTTAGAATTTTTCATTTAAGATTAAAATATTCCTTTCTCTATAATAAATATGATTGGCGTTATATCGATCCTATTTTATGATACATTCAAGTGTAATACCATTGGATCCGGAAAATTTTTCTGTGGGTGTACATTTTGCAAATATGTAATTGAAATATCACAAGGAGCGGATAGCGCGACGTAATCATTTGACTCGAGGTCGATTTTATGTACAAGTTTCGCTCAAGTGCACATAGAGGTGCGAGTCTCTCTAACAAGAGTAATTTTCCCGTTTCGCGAAAGGCAAGACTAGTTTATGAGCTGAGGTCAAAACTCCTCGCCTCAAGGATGCGTGCATCGAAAGTATTAATTGATCGTGAACGTAGTTGTTAATGGGGCCTGGTATCTCCGGTCGTGAGAAAGAAACGAGATGGCGGGTCGATAAATAAGATTAATACTTGCTGCCGCTTTCGCATTTACAAGTTTCTCCTAAACCGTGGAATATTACAATAATTTCTGACTATTTTTTTTATGAAAAGCTCGCGAGATACGGTTGGACGCGGTAAAACTTTCACGTTCTCGCGCCACGCATCCTTATATAAACGAAGTTGTTTCCCTTATTTATTTTATGAATAATAAAACCGAAGAATGCGATGGTCACCTAAACTCGGTACTTGATCGCACTTGCATTTAAGGCGTAATGAATTTCGGGACTTACGTCGCAGTTAAGTATAACGAATGCGAAAGTTTCGAGAGACCCGTAATAAAGAATGACGTTGTAGAAAGCAATAACAGGCGCGCTCTTTAAATTGGCGAGTTTACTACGAGCAGGGTGACAAACCGCGGAACACGCTCGCCTACGACAAAAGGTTCGGGATTACGTAAGTGCACGTCAGCACTTTGTTCCTT